ACCCAACCACACTTGTGAGACACCCAACCACACTTGTGAGACACCCACCACACTTGTGAGACACCCACCACACTTTGTTGTAAATATATTCTCTGAATCTTGGCCTGCAACAGTTCTGTTCCCTGTTGTTAAATCTGCACAGCTACTCTGCATATGGCCTCAATATACAGATTCTGTCTTGAGGAGCAACACATTGGAAAAACAGGATGATCCAAGCTTCCCTCATTGATATCTCTGCCTGTAAAGAGCAGGAACATTAACTGCAGTTGGTTACAATGAAATGGGGTAGAAAATGCTTTGTGGGAGAGGCAATAGCAACACTGAACACATGCTGTGAACATTGGGTCTCACTTGTGTGTAGAAGCACCGTGATCAGGAGTGGGGTCCAGCTGTGGGTTTGTGCCCCGTAGCTCTTGCAGATGTTTTAGGGTATTGAGGGTACGCTCTCACCCTGGCGTTTTAGGGTATTCCTGCCTCTCCTCCAGTCTGACTGAGGTTTAAATTCCCGCAGCCTGCGACTGTGATCCGGAGGGCTCGCGCTCCCTGCAGTGCCGGGAGAACGGCCGCTGCGAGTGCAAAGAAGGCTTCGTGGGGACCCGCTGCGACCAGTGCGAGGAGAACTATTTCTACAACCGCTCGTGGCCAGGCTGCCAGGAATGTCCAGCCTGTTACAGATTAGTGAAAGACAAGGTAAGGCCAGGAATGCTGCTGTTGGTACTGCTGGAGACAGTAGCGCGTGCCCGCTTGTGCAGCATCTGCGCCCCTGGCTGTTGACGGCTGCTGGAGGCAGAGAGACTCAAGGTGCTTGGCTGTGTCATAGCTGTGCCCCGTCCCTCTGACGTAGGTGGCGGAACAACGCGAGAGGCTGCGGGAGCTGGAAAATCTGATAGCAAATCTGGGTGCAGGAGCAGAAGCCGTGACTGATCAAGCCTTCGAGGAGAGGTTGAAGCAGGCAGAAAGAGAAGTTATGGAGTTGCTCCAAGAAGCACAAAAAAGCAAAGGTGAGTTGACCTGATCAGACAGGGACCAACTGAACGAGTTCTTTGCCTGATGGTCCTGTTCCCTTTGGACACAGCATGTTTTATCTCAGGCCTGACAGCTATTTCAGATAGCACTGAGTCAGTGTGTGTTGTTATCAGAACAACAGTGCCTGTGCTTTTATCCCTGCTGTTCTCCCAGCGCTCTCTGTTGTACATGCAAAGTAAAGATCTGCCTCTAGCTCCATACAGATGTGTTTTGTGTGTTAGCCTTTTCTCCAGATGCATAGAAGGGTTTTATTTGTTCAACGAACAGAAGACTTTCCAGTACACTTTTCGTGCTTGTAAATTTGCTCAAACATCTTGAGATCAAGTAGTTCTTGTTAGGATATCATCAGCAATCAGAATGAAAGCTTCAAGATCCTGCTGGCAAGCTTAATTATCCCACCATAAAGTGTAGAAAGTTCTGAAGAGGGCTGTTGTGGTGGCTTTTAGCTGTTTTCCCTGTTAAACTCTGCTTTGAATTGATTCTTTTATTGTCACCTCTGCCACAGGATGTCTGTGAGCAGGATGTTTGTCGTGTCTGTGACAGTGGTTTGTCCTTAGAGCATCTTTAATGTATAAGGTGATGTGTGTTTTGGAGAAGAGAAACCTGAAGACTATTGACTTTGCAGTAAAAGATGTTCTCCTGGGAGCTGGGTCACTGATTTCAGACCATTTTGGGAAAATCCATCCCCTTTGTGTGAAGCTGGAAAAAAGCTGACACACATCTAATGCTGGTGTTTGCTTGGGAAGATTCCTGCCAGTGGGAATGATGGCTGAAGCTCTTCTCAGCTTTAGCTGAGGTAGATTTACACTGTCTGCTTGGCATCCATGTCTAGATAATAGTCCCACATAAGGAAGTAGGAGGTTGGGAATCGAAGAAAGGTTAGGGAATGGATTGGGTTTTGTGGTGCTATTTTAGATCTTTCTTTCCATGTCTTACAATCATAGAATCATTTAGGTTGGAAAGACCTCTGAGATCAAGTCCAGCTGCTAACCCAGCACTGCCAAGTCTATCACTAAACCGTGTCCCCAGATGCTACATCTACATGTCTTTTAAATGCCTCCAGGGATGGTGATTCCACACTTCCCTGGGCAGCCTGTATCAGGACTCGACAACCCTTTCAGTGAAGAAATTTTTCCCAATATCCAATCTAAACCTCCCCTGGTGCAGCTTAAGGCTCTGTCCTTTTGTCCTGTTGCTTGTTGCCTGGGAGCAGGGCCTGACCCCCACCTGGCTCCACCCTCTTGTCAGGGAGTTATAGAGAGTGAAAAGTGTCCCCTGAGCCTCCTTTCCTCCAGGCTGAGCTCCCTCAGCTGCTCTTTGTGCTCCAGCCCTTCTGCAGCTCTGTTGCTCTTCCATAAGAGGGCAGGTTAAATGCAACAAAAGCTACTCTTGCAAAAATCTGTACGAGTTATTTGTGGTTTTCTATGTAGTATGTTTTCGAAATGTGTCAGATTTTCATGTTCAATATTTAAAATGTGCTGCAAGGTCAAGGTATTTGGGAAGAATCTAGTTTTGGAGGCCTGTGGGCTTCTGCTTGTACTTCATCTCTTGAAAACATTCTCAGCTTTTCAAAAGTAGCTGCCCCTGGCCATGAGGCACATGCCTGTACTGTGATGACTCCATTATTAAGGTGCTGTTGTGGGGAGTTGCCTGGTGGTCCAAAAACTTGGGGAAGTTTGGGTGGCTCCGAGGTCCTACATATGAGAGAACCGAGGCTCTATCTGGCCAGCTTTTGTCATCCCTTGGGTTTAGGGGAGAGTTTGGAGTAGGTTTACTATTCCACACATGTCCTAGCTGCTCCCTGTGGAGACTGTCTGGCTTGGGAACAGCCAGTGTTGCCCAAAGTGGAGAATAATGTACAGCCCCACTATTCCTCCATCTCTGCAAACCTTCTAGGAGTTAAGAGAATTCACAAAGCAGATGTTTCATACTTCTTGAGGAGCAGCTCTGCTGTGATTTTAAGTCCACGACAGAGGTGAAAGGTGACTCTGAAACCAAAATCTCCCATCAGAGTCGGTTCCAACAAGCAGCAGGGTTGTCTTATTAGTAGTTAATGGCTTTTAATTTCTCATATTTGGAGCACATTCTGATGGTGACTTTGATCTCAAGCTGAGCGACTTGTGAAACAGCTTTGCTGGTCCCCTTTCAGTAGGGGATTAACCTCCAGTACGGTGCCTGCAGCGGTGAGCTGCTGCTCCAGCTTCTCCTCCTGCTGTAATTAATTTTGCTTCCTCTCTCTTATATCTCGTGTTTCAGACGTAGATCAGGGCCTCATGGATCGTCTCAAAGACATCAACAGCACACTGGCAAATCAGCTCAACAGGCTGAGGAACATCCAGGGCACGGTGCGGGAGACGGAGAACCTGGCAGAGCAAGCCCGGGTGCGGGTGGAGGACACTGAGGACCTCATCAGCTTGGCTTCTGACATGCTGGAGAAGGCAAAGGTGGCAGCTGACAACGTGGTGAGTGTGCTGCTGAGATCCCACGCCACTGGGAGAGGAGAGGGCCTTTACTTCTTTGCCCTCTGGTGTGTTTCTCTGCTTGGTCTCTCTCATATAGCAAATGTGCACCATGGAAAATAAGTAAAGGAAGTTCACCAGTGTCTGTCAGAGATTGTGTCTTAGCCCCTGCTCGAAGAAACCAACAGAAGAACTCTTAAATAAATATCAACACCTTTGTGTTTAAGGGATGAGCACTGGTTAAGAAAAACATAGAGAAGTCAGAAGTAGGTCAGACACATCTCTAAGCATTTAGATCATGACAATAAATATTTAAAGAAAAGATGAGTCAAAGATGAAAGAAGAGGTTTAGGGGTTTCTTTTTCCTTTCTTTTTCCAGTCCATTGCACCTCCGGAGCAAAGCGGGGACCCCAACAACATGACTCTGTTGGCAGAAGAGGCCCGTAAGCTGGCAGAAAGGTAAGTGTGGCAAGGCACACTCCTCGTGGATCACATCAGGGCTCTGCTCTTCCCTGCAGATTTTAATTTGCTGGGTAGGAAAAACATGCCCTGTGCTGAGTAAGAGTCTGTCACTGTGGGCTCCTGCCTGTGTGGCACTGAGGGCACACACCAGACATGTGAACAGGGGGCACGACAACCATCTTCCATTGCAAATGTTTTAGCACCTCCCATATTTAAATCTGGGAGAAGGAAGGAAAAGTGAGAGAATAAACTCCAGAACTGAGGATAGAAACTGCTGGCTGACAAACCTAATGGCATTATTTTTTTTCCATTATCTTGTCCAGACACAAAAAAGAAGCTGATGAGATTGTTCGTGTAGCCAAGGCTGCAAATGATACTTCCACAGAAGCGTATCAGCTGCTGCTGAAGACCTTGGCTGGAGAAAACCAAACTGCCATTGACATTGATGAGCTCAACCAGAAGTGAGTCAATAACAGAAAAATGGTTTTATTCCCTGGCTTTAGGTGCTTAAAACTAAGCGTTTTATGGGAGTTGGTTTTCAATTTCTTAGCCTCTCTACTCTCTTATTAAGCTCAGTTTTACAAAAAATATTGTAGCACAACTGGATCCTTGCGGATTTTTTAGGTATAATCAAGCAAGGAATATTTCTCGAGACCTAGAGAAACAGGCCAACAAGGTGCTTGCTGAGGCAGAGGAAGCTGGAAACAGAGCCCTGCAGATCTACGCTAATCTCACCAGCCTGCCTACAGTGGATTCCACAGGGCTAGAGGTACGTGTGGGCAGCATCACGTGCAGTATTCCCTGAAGATTCCAAGTTGCTGGCATACCTTGCGTATGCTCTGCTAGTGCTCCCAGTCTGTGGGATTTTTGTCCATCTAGGCATAATCCAGACTTGTGCTTTCCAGCTTTTACACAGGAGATTAAAATGCAAAAAACCACCTACATAAACCTCCACTTCCCCCAGTCTCTGAAGGACAAAAATCCAAGTGAAATGTTTGCCAAGCATCTTGGCTTGAACGGAGAAGTGCAAAAATTTGCCACCCGTTCAGAAATTCTTTAACGTTCAGGACTCTGCGTTTGTTTCTGATTTCCACCTGCAGAATGAAGCAAATAAGATCAAGAAGGAAGCGGAGGAATTAGATCAGCTAATTGCCAGGAAGCTGAAGGATTATGAGGACTTGAGAGAAGACATGAAAGGAAAGGAGCTTGAAGTGAAGAACCTCTTGGAGAAAGGGAAGACAGAGCAGCAGGTCAGTTCTGCTTTGTGCAGGCTTTTTTTCCCTGAAAAAAAAACAAACAAAAGAAAACAAGTAACTGGCCAGATGTGGAAGATCTGGTCTTATTCAGTCTCATCTTATTGCAGCTTGTTAATTATGAGAATGCTGAAGAGTGGTCCCAGAAAGGAGATGCAGAAAGCTGTTAAAAGCAATGGCATTGAGGCTGTAAGGGAAAATAGGGGATATTTGCCAGGTGTGGTGTCTTTTGTATTCAGAACAGTATTCCAGAAGTCCCTACATTCCCGTGGTCTCAGAGGAAGTACTGCTGTTCTAGATGGCGTTGGTGTTTCAGACTGAGCAGTGCTTTTTTGATACACCTACGTGGTTGTCCCTCAGGAGGTGAGAATATGTTGTTCTGTGTCATGTCTCCTCAGACTGCAGACCAGCTCTTGGCTCGAGCAGATGCAGCGAAAGCCCTGGCTGAAGAAGCTGCTCGGAAGGGCAATGGCACACTACAAGAGGCCAATACCATCCTCAGCAACCTGAAAGGTAAAGAGGAAGCACTTGCAGTGAATCCTTCAGTTCCAGTGTGACAAGTCATTTGGCAGTAGGGGTTTCCTGCTTAAACAGGCCGTGCTGTTGCCCTCACCTCAGTGTTGGGGGGGTTCTTTAGGCTTGTTTTTCTTTAAAGAAAAGAAATATAAGCATTTTCAGTGACTGGAAATCTCCTTTAAGCTCCTTATTTAGCATCAGAAGATGTGCGATAGGGAGAGCTGATGCCAGTTTGCTCTTGGTCCCTCCGATGTCATGGAGGCAAAGCCTGGGGAGCTCAGTCAAATGAGCATCCCAAGGCTCTCTGTCCTGATAAGGGTCTGTTCTGCCCTTCGCTAGACTTTGACAAGCGGGTGAACGACAACAAGACGGCGGCTGAGGAGGCGCTGAAGAAGATCCCTGCCATCACACAGACCATCGCTGAAGCCAACAACAAGACGCGCCAGGCGGAGCTGGCGCTGGGCAACGCTGCTGCTGACGCCCGTGAGGCCAAGGCTAGAGCAGATGATGCTGAGAAAATCGCCAGCTCTGTTCAGAAGGTGAGTCCTTAGCGGTTCTGAAGCCACCCCCTCCCCGAGATGTTGGTGTGTAACTGCGTAAACTCTGTTCCAGTACTTCCCGGAGAGCCACACGTGCTTTCTGCTGTGTTCCCACATGTGGACACGACAGGAAATCGGTGCATTTTGATGGAAAGGACTGAAGGAGGTTGTGCACCTTCATCACCTTTCTTCCATCCTCTCCCCCTTGTTGGCTGTAGAGTGCTGCTGCTGCCAAAGCCGAAGCCGACAAGACTTTTGCCGACGTGACGGGGCTGGCCAGGGAGGTGGATGACATGATGAAGCAGCTGCAGGACGCAGAGAAAGAGCTGAAGCGGAAGCAGGCGGATGCTGAGCAAGATATGATGATGGCAGGCATGGTAAATAGTGCTGGCAGGTGACAGCAGTGGCCAGGAACTGCCTTCTCCCCACTGTCCTGGAGATGCAAGCTTTCCTCCTGCTCTCCCCTTGCAAAGACAGTGCTGAGTCCAGCCAGTATTCAAACTCTCCCAAGTTTTAAGTGGGATTGAGAACATGAGACAAACTCTGGTGCATTAGCACAGGCTCCCTGTGGAATTTGAGAGCCAGTTTTCTTAATGCAACACTCTCCTTTGAGTTTAACTGAAACCTGACTATAGATCTATTGACTCTGCTCTGACTTTCCCTGCAAAATCCTGCTTAGTTCTCAGGGATATCCTGAAGTAATCAGAAAAGTGATTATTTGAAGATTGTCAGTCTTCTCCAGCATTGTGATAAAGATCTCAGTGCATGAGTGTTACCCTGGAGTGAGGAGCCAGAGGTGTGGGTGACTGACTGCTTGGGCAGAGGCAACAGTTTTTTGTGCTCTCACTTTTTACACCCTGCAGGCCTCACAGGCTGCCCAGGAGGCAGAAGATAATGCCAGGAAAGCAAAGAACTCTGTGAACAGCCTACTCACTGTCATTAATGACCTGCTGGATCAATTAGGTAGGACTGTCCTTAATGTGCCCTATGCCTTTGAGTGTTTTCCTGATGTGTGCTGGCTTCCCTGCCAGTGCTGTGCAAGGAATCAGATGGGTCTGTTGACCTCTTGAAATGGGCTCTGTGTGGTTTTGGCACATCTTGGGGTTTTTGCTTTGCTGGGGTAGCCTCAGAGCTCGTTGTGCAGTGTTCAGGGGTGGTTTTCTGCAAGCTGAGGACACTGAAGGTGTCACCCATGTGGTTGGTTCTGTTTTAAATGATGTCTCTAATGCAGAAACGGCCCGATGGGGGTCTGGCTGTGGGCTCAGCTGTGTGAGCACCCAAAACCAGGGTGTCAAAGGGTTTTTAATGCGCTTCACTATTTGCTACTGCCTTTTCAGGGCAACTGGAGACAGTGGACTTGAACAAACTGAATGAAATTGAGGGTACCCTGAACAGTGCCAAAGACCAGATGAAAGACAGCGACTTGGACCAGAAAGTGTCTTTCCTTGAGAGAGAAGCCAAGAAGCAAGACGATGCGATACAGGCCTACAACAGGGACATTGAAGAGATCCTGAAGGACATTAGCAACCTGGAGGACATCAGGAAGACCTTGCCATCTGGCTGTTTCAACACCCCGTCCATTGAGAAACCCTAAGGGTGCGCTGGGGGTGGGGGGTGTTCCCCCCGAGCGGTGGTTCGGCTCCGGAGTGCCTTAACACACAGTACCTTCTCCAAATCCCCACCTCTTCGCTGCTCACAGCCACTGTTTTCTTGTTCAAATCAGGATAAGTTGAAAGATTTTTTTTTTATTTTTATTTTTTTTTTTTTGAGAAGCAAATTAAATATCCGTCTTTGGGCATCAAAGGGGTTTTTTTTATATAGATTGTTTTCCTGAGCACTCCGCCTTTGCCCCTTCCTCAGACACAGTTTCCCTTTGATTAGTGCAAAGATGAGAGATGCTCTGGACTCTTTATACTGTGGTTCAGAAATAACCATGTGAGCTGTACACAGCAAGGCAAAACTAACCCAACTTTCTCTCCGCTCTCTTCCCTTTGACTGTAAAATCCTCAGTCCCAGAGCTCTCTGTTCCTATGAAGGAAGGGGATGGCTGCCAAAGTATTACTGTAATGGCCAGTAAAGCTGCACTCTCAGATCTCTGTTCCCAACTTCTAACCCTGTGAATTTATTGTTTTCATCCTTACCTAGTGGCCAATCCGACAGCGTTGGTAGCCTTTGACAAAATAGCTGAAGCCTCTTTCTGAAATGCTTTCTGTGATGATGCATCGCTCTGAGGAAAAGGCAGCCTCTGATTGGAGCTCTTTGGGAAGATGGGATACTGGTGGAGTGGTGGGTCTTGCCAGCCCCACTCCTCCTCTGTGGAAAAGTTTTGGGTCCGGTCTGAAAGCTGCTGCCTGCTGGGTAGTCCAGACTGCCAGAGCGTGGAAGCCATCAGCTGCTTTCCCATCTGTTGCTACTGAATTGCCAGAGGATCTGGTTTTTTAGGCTTGGAATGTGTGACTGACAGATGAGTTTGTTCAAGCAGGACAGGTTTTGCTGAAGAGGAGGGCTGCCATCCAGAGAGCTCCGACAGCTGCACTGGCCTTCACGCCGAATGTCTTTGGGTGGGGAAGGAAGGGGGCACGTGAGTGGAAATGGGAAAAGTCTGTCTTTCTCCCCATCTTTTTCCTGAAGGAGGACAGTGGCATTTTTATATCTCCTGGCATTGCTCTGGCCTTTTGCCTGTTTTTAACCTGGCAGGAAGAGCTGGAATTTTCCAGTGCCCTCGTTTCTTTTTGCCTCCCGGTCACCGTAAAGCCACCGCAGCACAGGGACTTCAGGCCAGGCTCAGGTGGCAGCTCTGCATTTTCACAGCTCCCACCTTCTTCCCTGGCAGGCTCCCTCCCCAGGCAGTGCTTCCCAGCTGCTCACTGGTGCTGGGTGGGAGTGCCAGGGAGAGCATCCTCTGGGCTTCCTCCTTGTCTCCAGCCTGGCATCCCTCCCCCCCTCCCTGAGACCTAGTATATATCTATCCTTAAACACTATGCAACTTTGTATGTTTGCGTAGCGGGGAAGAAATTATTATCTGACACACACTGGTGCTATTAATTATTTCAAATTTATATTTTTTGTGTGAATGTGATTTTTTTTTTTTCCGTTTTTTTTAAAAATCATGATTATAGTGTGAGGAAGTCTCTCGTGTGTGCGTATGTGTGTGTAAATATACTCAGCCATATTTCCAGAGTGGCACAGCCTGGCCTCCTCCATGTGCTCTCCCCTGCAGCCATCAGGGTGCATGCACCATGTATCGCTTCTCTCTGTATCATTCCCTTGAAACTTGGGATTTCTCCCAGCTGGGCTCCTGCTTTCTTCCTTCTCCTGTATCCTCAGCACCCATCAATAACCACTTTGCCTGTCGGGTGGATGTCCTCCAGTCCTCCCTGCCAAGCCAGCCCTGCCCCACGGTGCTCGCAGCACCCCATTCCGTGTGCCTTGTCCCCTGGGACGCTGCGCCAGGACAGGGACAGGAGCTGTGGCTTTGCAGCTGGGCTGAGAGGAGCTGTAGCACGGCTGGGACGCTGGACCCAGCGCTGAGTGGTCGGAGAGCTGGACTTGGGGACATCCTGATACCACTGTGTGAGGCAGGAGGCTCGGTGCACCCTTGGGGACGGCACTGCTGGGCGGGGGGGTGATCCCGGCAAACCCCGCTCTTGTACCCCTTCCCTTAGAGATTCTGGCATTTACCAGCTTGGGATTTCCCTCCTGCCTGCAAACACACCTGGAGGAGAGCTTGCTGGCTCGCTGGCTGCTCTGGTCAGATGGCTGTAACCGCGTCACCTCTGCCAAGGCTGTGAGAAGAGCAGATGCGAAGATGCGCGCATGCCCTGGCTGACCTCAGGCCTAAGGTTTCCTGCTTTCTTCTCTTGTTTTTTTTTTTCTTGTTTTTTTTTTTCCTTAAGCTGTTTTTAACAGAATTTTATTTTTAAATAAAAGAAAAAATCTTTATAAGCGATCTCTTAATCACTACTGCATTACAGCCATTAATCATTGTGTAAGTCCAGTTATTTCTTTACGTAATGTGATGACGCAACAGCTGCTGGTGGAGTGCTGGGTGTCAGTCCCTTCATCACCTTGTTCCTGACTGTGGCCCCCCTCAGTACGTGCCTTCACTCCAGCTTTTTTGCCTTAATCTGTGGTCTTGCTGTCTGGGGCGGTGAACAAAATGCAACACTTGCAGTTTTTATGTATAAAACAGTATTTCTTATTTATAATAAAGTCTGAATATTTGTAACCCCTTATACCTTGGCATTCTTTCGAGTATTGCTTTTTTGTCTTTGGGGTAGGTGGAGCGGGTATTGATGGGGATGTGTCTCAGTTGCAAGATTCAGCTCTTGCTTAATTGGGTGACCTGTTTGAGGGTGGGGAAAAAGGAACAAGAAACTTGGAAATGCATTTGGTGGGTGCAGGTGGCCATAGGGATGATGGTTTCCCCCGTGTCCACTGCTCCATTGCCATGGCTATGATGGATTTTAAGCTGCTGGTTTTCCAGGACTTAATAAGATTATGCTGCTAGTGCTGATGCTGTTGGGGCTGCACTGTCCTCCTGGATAGCCCTGGGGATTTGGGGTGTGTTTTTACACTGTAAGAGTAAAATCCTTTTAGCTGAACATGTGGGAAAGGATGGGGCTCCTGGGAAGAAAAATTAAAACCCTGAAAAAGATGCTGAAATTTCTCACTAGGAACTGCCATAAGTCTGGACACTCTGTTGTTCCTGGATCCTGTCTACCACAGCCTGAGATAAATTTTATTCCTGAGTTAAGTAACTTTGTAAGGATGGATTACAGTGATAACAGACTAGGCCATTCTGCAATCACACGTGTCTTACATCTCCAGCTGGATTTCTGTTATTTTTCTCAGCAGAGGAAAATGCACATCTCATTAACTTGCATCAGAGCTAATCCCTTCTCAGCTGGTAAATTCTTCTCATTAATTTTTGTATTTCAGTTTGTCAGCTTTCAACCATTTATTCTGTGGTTGCCACTAATGAATTTGTTTTCTAAAATACTTTTTTTTTTAACTAGTCCTGCTGTGGGGCAAATTCCAGCTGGCAAAATCTGTCTGTTTCAGCTGGAGTGTAGGGAGCAGTCAAGGAGCAGAGAATTGGGTGGTGGGATGGTTCTGACCTTGCATGAGCTGTAGGTTGACATGAAGCCTCATACCATTTGGGGGCTAAAATACTCAGTTTAGGAAGCAAGTCTGTGCCCTTTATTGTATCTTCAGGATTTTATCTTCAGCTTTTTGTGAGCGTTGTCCAAATCTGTCTCAGAGGTGATCTTGGAGGAGGATGAGCCATGCAACCCTGTGGTTTTTAGAGGTGATCCTCAGGGATAGTGGAGGATGATGAAGTAAATACGCAGAAATCTGTCACAGGGAGGAGCAGACCCAGACCCAAGGGACCATGACAATGGTTTCCAGGTCACTAAAGTGTTTCACTGATGTTTTGAAGCCCAGGTAGAGACACCCTCCTCAGATATTCTCTGCGTGGGCTGTGCCCAACTTCAAAGTGCCTGAGGAGGAGCCCTGCCAAGCCACGCTTCTGTGGCTTTTTTCCTCCTCTAACTTCCAGTGGGTTTTCTCAGTGTCCAAGATCAAGCTCCACAGTCTCTTGTGCTTTCTAGAGAAGCAGGAGGCTGGCAAGGGGGGCCTGTGAGCAGATGGCAATGAGGAGGGCCTGGACAAACCTGAGCGGGGTTCCTTCTCCCTTCTGGGGAGAACAAGATATTGTTAGAAGTTAAAAAGTGCTGCGAACAACTGCCTGGAGGACACAGCTGTAGTGTCCATGTGGATCTGAGGATGGAGAGGACATACAGCTGTCACCCCGAGCTGGCAATGTTCTGTGCTGCCCATCTGACATGTTGGGCCACATTCTGGTTAGTTAATCTTTCTGGTTGGCTGCTGACCCGATACCTTTGGGTGTGTCCCCATCCCAGAAACATCAGGAATGCCATGTAAAAAATACCCCACAGAGCCTGGGCTTGGGGGGCAGTTGGATGGAAATGCCTTCCCTCATCCCTATCTGTGTCACCCTCACTGGTGGGGCAGGGCACAGGCGAGGCATGGCCAGGTGTGATGGCACTTCCTTGCTGTGCTGCTGCCCTGCCCTGCTTGCTCACTGTGACCCCCGGTGTCCCTGTCTGCTCCCTGCCTGCTCCCTGCCTGCTCCCTGCCTGCCTCTGCCCATCCCGGTGGAGCCTCTGCCCGAGCCGTCTCCGCTGCTTCAGGTGGCTCTGGCTGACATGAGGACTTTTTCCCAGGGCACCCAACTGGCCAAGGAGAGACTGAAGTCTGGGCTCTGTCGCTGCACTGGCATTTGGTGATGCCAGCACATCATGATCCCTGATTTTCCACACTGAGGAAATCCCAGAGCATTTCCTCCTGGAGAATGTTGCAGCTCAGACGGTCTCTTGTAGAGGGCAGCATGGGGACACCAAGGTTGCAAGGACACATGCAGCACCATGGTGTTTATCCGTCATGAGCCACCAAAATGTTTTTTTTTCCCTTAGTTACATCAATAAAACTATCGCTTCTGGGGTTTCACACACCTTATTACTTTGCTACCTGCAACCAACAGCAAAATTCAGATTGTTATGGAGATTCAGGCTGTCTTTGGAGTTGTTCATTCTGCCATGGCCACATCCTCGAGGACTGATGAACTTGTGAGCCCCTGCAGTAGCACTTCTTTGGCTCCATTGTGAATGGACACAGAACATTTTCTTGTGTTGCAGATTAAAACACGCGGGTTCTCAGTGAAGAAAAACTGTTCCATTGCAGTGTGTGATGACCACCACTACTCTTCATGCCTTCCT